TTTGTGTTTAGTGTAGATTTTATATATGTTGTATTATTTTAGGGTCCTTTATGTAATTATGTTACTTGATGAATAATAATGCAAAACCTAAGAAGTGTTTTCCACATCTAACACAATCAAAATATCGTTAAATGTTCTAACCCCATATAATGTGCCACTTAACAGGTTTACCATTGGACCCTTCACCCTTAGATGATATCGTATTTTTTTAATAATTGCCACTAACTTCTAATACGTGTGTTAGTTGGAGCTACAAACGTTGAAACATGCCTATTGTTGACAAATTGTCCAACACATATTCTACCCTACATGCTTACAAAAACAAATAACATATTATAAAACAAAGGATGTTATATTATTTTAAGAAATTAAATAATTTTAGCCATTTACTTCTCGCTATCCGGTATTAGTTAATATTACTTGATAATATTACACTTTATTTCTTTTTAGCATGTACACTTGTTTTTTTCTATATTACAAACATTTTGTGATATTTTAGGAGTAATTTTATCTTTAGTGTCGTTGGTATGCCATTTGGTGTGTTACGTATGCATGTGATTGAAGCCAATGGTCCACTTCTCTAGATTAATATTATTGGCCACCTCCGATATTCAAACACCTACAATATACCATTATCCACTCCGTAGCCTTTTTGTATTATAATCCTTTTAGGAGTTATTTAAAATATCCTAGAGTTTTTTTTATTATATAACACAACTAATTTATAATATGTATAATCGTTGATTAGTTTCATCTATTTTTGATTGTCTATATAGGATGGAATTAATTTTACAATATTAATATTTGTGTATTATTATTAGTTTAAAAAATGTTACATTTTACGTTAGAAATTCTGTTGCAAAGGAGAACAATTGATAACAAAATAACGTAGTTAAAGGGATTTAGCATCGAGACAATAGACATTTAGGAGTTTTTTTTTTCTTTTTTCTAAGACAAAATGTCTGCAGTCTGCAAACCACATGTGCAGACATCTGCAGTACAAGAGATGAACCAAACATCTGCATTATGATAAAAAAAGACTGTTTGTTTTTAACGTTTGTAGGTTGCTAAAATAAATCAAAATCTAAATAAGTTGTGTTTTTTTTAAACTTAAAAGTGGTTTTCAATACTTTATGACTTTATCATAAATATTAACAAATCTAGATCAAATTTTATGTATTGTTATATAAAAAGTAAAAATAAAATAGTAAGAATTAACGTGTATATTTGATAAAAACCAACAATTTTTAGTCGCGAAATTATACATAAATATTGTAATTAGGGATCAAAGAACTTAACACATAAAATGGATGAAAATAAATTTCAATCTTTTTTTTAAAATGAAAATTCAAAATTTTGAATTTATCTTTCAATTAAATCATTTAAAAACTAACCATAAATTTTTTTTCCAAGAAATGGATGATACTATATTAAATAATTTTTTTTATAAAATTTGGTACAAAAATATACGACAATATTGAGATTTTTTTCAAATCTACATAAATAGCTCCAATGAATATTATTGTAATTAAATATTTATTTATAAATTTGTCACAAATGCAATGTTTGTGTCTTCAAACCTTTTTTTCTTGAAGTATTATATTTTTTCCAAGTTGTTTATTATATATAAAGTTGGAATAAATCTAAGTTAAAAAAACAAATATATATGTGTTTTTTTAGGCTAGAAGATATCTGAAGATGTTAGAAAACTCTGGTCCACATCTGCGCTAAGAAAATGACGCACAAACCTTTTTAGGTCAGCAGTCTTCAGAAAAACAAATGATATGTGAATACTAATGTCTGCACGGTGTGGAGAGAATAGGCCAAGAAGATCCACAGACAAAAAACAAATAACACATTTGTGACCCATCAATAGAGTCGTAGATTTTCTTGTTTCAATTTTTTGGAAACAAGTGTTACATATTAAACTATCAAAGAAATATTAAAGAAACTAAATAGGATGATTAATAGGTTCAAAGATATTCATTTTCGATTGAAACATGTCGAACACAAAAATAGTATATGTCAAACATGCGAAACTAGATCAAACAAATTGCTTTTTAATTAGTCGAGGTTTAATCTAGTTTGTTTAACAATTGTTGATTGAACTAGATATGATTAAGTCATACATACTAAGGCTAAACAAAATTGAAACCGAAAAGCCGATAAAATTGAAACCGAACTCAAACCGTCGTTTTTGGGTTTAAGTTTATGAAAACCGAAAAATTCGGGTTGGGTTCGGTTTTGGGGTTAAAAGCGACCCACTAAAACTGAACCAACCCAATGGGTTTAAAACTGATCCAAACCCAAGAAACCGACCCGATATACATATTATTAATTATTTAATATATTTTTAATAAATGTTATTTGTTTTATTAAAATAATCAATATAGAATAGTTTACAAAACCCTAACCTCGTCCTTTACTAATGCTCCTCTCATCTCACTCTCTCAGCCTATCACATGCAAGAGCACATTTGCATCAGGAAGAGACGAACCGTATCCCCAAGTAAATAATTCACTTACGTGGTGTTTGTTTTTTATCTGTAGATCTTTTTGGCCTCTTTTGTCTGCGTCGCAAACTATTTGTTTTTTTAGAAGATCGCAGACCTACTGCAAGTCCTCTTCTTGGCCTAAATATGGAGTAAAATCTTTTAACATCTTCTAGCCTAAAGAAACATCATTCCCATTAATATATATATTTTTCGAATGTCTCTTTTATTTCTGCTTCAGACATTAATATATTTTTTGTTCAAATGTCTTTTTTTTTGTGACTTATTAGACATCAATATTTTTATTCGAATGCATTTTTTTGTAATATTTCATCATTTTAACTACAACAAAATACAATAAATATCAAATATATTCGCTAATTCATACCATTTTACTTTTATTTTTTATATTACAACTCATTTTTTAAAAATGACCTAATTACTCTATCATCATTAAAGTATAAAATAATTTAGCCAAACACATTAATCATAATATAATATCACAATAAAGAAATAAAATAAAAAACTTGTTATAAAAAAATTGAAAGTGTTATACAATAACACATAAAGTTTGATATAGATTTGTTAACAATCTATAATAAAGTCATAAAAGTGATAAGTTCAAAAATATGATATTATTATATAAAATATCGAACAAAGACAAAGAATACATATGATTACAATATAAAATCTCTTAAATGAATTGAAATTGAAAGAAATTTGAATTTAATGGAACATTTTAGTGTTGTAAAACTAGGACTATTTAAATTTCAGTATTGAAAAACTTTTTTAAGTTTAAAAAACCAGTTTATTTAAATTTGAGTTTATTTTAGCAATTTGCAGATGTTAAAAAACAAAGACTTCTTCTTGTATACTGCAGACGTTTGGTCTCTGAAAAAACAAAGACTTCTTTAGGTGAAACCCTTTGTCTCTGTAAAATCTGCAGAGATCTGTAGATGTGGTCCGCGTACAACATACCCTTTGTCTCTGAAAAAACAAATAACACATTAGGTGATCCGTGAATAACATGTAAGTACGATAAAAATCTTGAATCTTGACACAAGGAAGATGACGACACACTGAATTTGTTTCATTTTAGTTAAAATTGATGAAAAATGAGTTGAAACCCAAAACCCACAGGTTTAAACCCCAAACCCATCAACCCATGGGTTGAACCAAAAAACCGAAGAAACCGACCTATGAACCCAAAAACTGAACACGTTCTAAAACCAAACCCAATGGGTTTCAAAACTCAAAAACCAAAATTATCGGTGTGGGGGCTCGGTTTCACCCAAACAGACTCATGCCTCTTATCAGACCTAATAACTAGTAAGAGACATATAAGAGGCTACATAACCAAATTAAAGACTTCTAATTATGATATCAAATTGTCTAAATTTGAACAGGTGAGACTTAACCTCTTATCACACCAGTAAGAGGTATATCAAACATTCATAATAGTAATTGTTATCGATCTGTTTATTAGATGATATGTTTCTTTTTTATAATAAAAGAGTCTAACGTTATTCATGAAACACGCTTTGCTGTTCTAAACAAAACGACATGAATTCATTAGAAAAAACATGAGCCACTTAAATGCATCAATTCATTTATCTTAGACCATACACAAATGAGTAGTGGGTCCGGTATTGTTATATGGAAAAAGAGGGAGGGGGTCCAGTGTAATTAATCACGAGAAAATAGAAGTGAAAGGACTGTGAGGAGGTTGGTGTGTTTAATAATTACGGGACTTTGGAAGACAACCACATGACTCATTTAATTATAGCCAAGACCATGTTATTTTACCCTCACCATCATTCTTTTTGGCAAAATGTCTACTAATGGAAACTACTTGAGTTTTACTTTTTCTTTAAGATAAATAGTAAAAAATAATAAAATACATTTTTGTTATTTTATTGATCAATATAGTATACCTTTAATCTTTTAATATAATAAGTTTTTTATTTTTTTATATATATAACATTACCAATTAAGTATAACAAACATATAATTTTCACCATTGATGTAACATCTAGCGGTTTCTTTATTACCTTTTACCTATTATTGGGCTTATCATCCAAATTCCACATCGCCTTTTCACTGGAATTTTGGACCAAATTCGTCTAAAATTTATGATATGTTTGTTTTTTAGTGCTACAAGCTATATATTGAAAAACACCCAAAGAGCCCAAAAATTAAGACATATACATGTATGGTTATGGGTAAAGTTGGGATTCAAGAAAATAACATGTAAATTTCATCCATTAAACGATATTTGCATTTGCTTTTAACAACTAGATAGTTGTTTTAAGTAACTTATCAAATAATACAATCTTCAGGGGCTCTTTAGGGATGTTTGATAGCCTTTTAATTTTTCAATTAAGAGTGAGACTCGTAATTTCGTAAAAGTTCCAAACAGTCATTTATTCTCATTCGTTAAAAAAAAAACACAATTAATGATCCTATGTTTGAAATTTAAATGCACAAAAGAAATCCACAACAAGATTCACCCAAATCCGAACCTTCCCTTAACTTTTCAAATTCATGGTACAACACAACATCGACAAAAAAAAAATGTGTTCAAGGTTACATGAAAATGGAACCAAAAATACAAAAACAACACACCTTCTTTTGTATAATTTACAACAATTCATGGAACTTTTTTCAGGTATTAGTGTACACGATATCAACTTTGAACTAATTTCTACTTCTTTTTTCCTGTTGTATAAAGATTAAACCAAATATAAAAAAATATAACACAGCAACAAATCTTTCACCAAAAGACGACTCACATATTTGTAACCAACTCGAACTATGTTATCTGTTCTTCTTTAAATTGTAGAAGTCCCGAGGGTGGTGGTGGTGGTTGTTGTTGGTGGTGGTTTGGATAGTCTTGTCTCCGGATCAATGAATGTCCGCCATGATTAGGCGGCTGAAGTTGAGCGGCGGCGGTGTTGGCGGCAATATTATGGCTGCTGTTTTTAGCCGCCGGCACATCGTGGGTGTGTTTTCCTTCGTATGTGGTTATCACAGCTTTTGGATCACTTGCAGCTCTCTCTACATGCTTGCGTACATTGCACCCTTGGCTTGTACACTTGTAATAACTCCTGGATATAACATAAAAATATATTCATGACACCAAAATAAGGTAAATGTTTAGCATGATGAAAACATGAAATGCATGGAATGAATGGTTTATTCCATAGCAACAATTAATTGTAATCAGTGGTGGATCTAGAAAAAAAAATACCTTGGATGAGGATTTCCTTTCACAACTTTTTGTCCATACTTTCTCCATCTATACCCATCATCAAGAAGATCGACTTCACTAGTTGTTTGAACAATGATCCGAGGTTCCGTAACTCCTCGGTGTGATGAAACGGGGTCCACACCCCTCCCCTCTATGTTCCTTCACATTATATAACAACTAGTTTATTTTTCGAGTTTTTTTAAATTGTCATGTCTGGCAAGCCAAAAAGTAATTAATAAGCTAGCTTTTTAAAAAGCTATTTAGAGTAGCTTTTCATGAGTTTTTTCAAAAATTCTCGAATATACCTTTAATTAATTGTATCTTCTAGCTAACTTGTCAGCTAATTTTTACAATGTTTGCTAGCTTATAAACTAGCAGCTAACTTTTCATCTAACAACTATCTTTTCAGCTAGTTTGCCAAACATAGACTTAGTACTTATAAATCATTATCATATATATACTAGAAAATATATTAATCAAATAAAAAATACCTCCTTTTTTGTTGAGGTTCATCTTCATGTCTTTCATCTACTCGACTTACATCATTACCCACTTCCTCACTATCACTCGACCCCGAATGTTCATACGTAGCTTGACTAGATTCTTGATCTTTCATCAACGAATGGTTAAAATTACCAATCTGCCACTCGAATTTATGTTCGTTTACGCTTGAAGTACCATTACTAGAATCTTTTCCACGTTTGCTTTGAGGTGGCTGGTGGTTGTGCTGCCCCTTATAAATAATTTCCGTCACTTGCCCCTCTACAGACCGCTCAACTTGCTTCTTAACAGGACAATTTGGATGGGTACATTTGTAATAACTGCGAGGGTATTCACTACCCTTTACTTGTTTTTGCCCGTATTTTCTCCAATTGTAGCCATCATCAGCGGGCTTATCGACTGCTATGGAGGAAGGGTGGTAGCGGTTGTCGGAATTTGAAAAATCAGATGAGTCCTTGTCGGTGTAGTGGTCCGGCTTAGCTGGCGGCAGGCGGTGGTAGGTGGCGGCGGTGGAGGTAAAAGAATGGATTGGTGGTAGTGATGAAGCTTGTGCTGTCACTTGAGCTAATGCTTGTTGGTGGGACATTCCAAGAGAAGCCTATTGAGGAAACCAGAAGTAATTAAGTTGCTAAAATGAATGTGATATTTTATGCAGTGTTGCATTTAATAAAATGGTAGAATTTGGATTCCATATTCTCCGCAACTTAACCAATATTTTTTGTGGTTATATTATATCACAGAGGGCTAAATGTACCTTTGTGGTTTCATAATTTTTTACTTGTTAGGGACTCAAGGTATTGTACTTCGAAAGATCTAAGCATTTTTAGCAATATACTTTACCATTTTCTTATTAGGATATTATAGTTTGAATAATCTACATAATAATGAAAGTTGTTTTGTAATTTAATGACATTGTTATAACTAGATAGAGTTTTTGAAATTAATAAACTATGTTAGTATTTTTGCATTTAACCCAAAAGGGGCAATAAGTTTCATTGACAATAATGAATGACGAAAACATATAACTTTTTCAACAAAGTTCAACTGCTGAAGAAGATAATTTAAATCATAGCAATATCATAGCTTTAGTAGGTGCCTCAAAGTCTGAAACCTCCTTTTATAAAAGATAAAGCTGTTATTCCTAGATGATACTCATATATAATCGGGGAATAAAGGGCCCTCATGGCTTATTTTCAATTCAATCTAAAACTGTAAACATAACAATTATAAACTTTTTCCTTTTTTGTAGAACACGCCTCTTACTCAAGTCAAAATTTCCTATATGCATCATGAGTTTATTTACCATATATAGACAATACAATATCATTCACATGGGCTGCTCATTAAAGGCAAATGAATACTTTTAGCTACACTATTTATCATCGTGAATGAATGTTAATTTTGGCGTCAAAAAAAGCACATATATATCAGACTCATATAAAGAACTTGAGCTATGGAGACGCTTTGTAAAACCTGAGTTTGAGGGAAAAATCCCGGTGAATCGAGCAAGGTAGCCGGACTTAGGCCCGGAGGTATGGTAAACATCGACGGCTGAGTAACCACCAAACTTGAAGGCCGACCATTGTTACTAAACTGAAAGTCAACGTTTCCGCCACCAACGCCACCGCCATCGCCGCTGTTAACGGACTCTTTGTTAGAATAAGAGTGTCGGATATCCAGATGACTCGACGGTCTACGGTCGGGAATCTCTGCCGGCGACAACATAGCTCCGGATAGAAGTTGAGAGAATGAACGACAATCGGAATCCGGATCGTTCTCTGAGAAGAAATTTGAGACTAAAGTCATTGGTCCAGGACTAGCTCCCGGACCGCTGCCTCCGCCGGCGAACAAAGTCTCCACCGTCGAACGTGGCGGGAGCGTTATCGAAGGCCGTGTAGACGGTACCGACAACGATAATCCCCTATTTTCGTCCATATTTAAAATTTTAAGCTTGTTGAAGTTGTATCACATCTCCGGTGTAAATAGGTTCAGCCGGCGATGAATATCTCCGGCACGTTTTCTCTCTCTAGACGATATTTTCTCTCTCTAGGAGTTGTGTTTTTTTGGGGATAGTTTTGGTGTCTGTATTCAGATGATCTGCAAAATCAGAAAAAAGTCCACGGAGCAGATGCGAAAAAGGCATCCGGAAACTATTTCCATATTTAGGTAATTCTCTGCTGCCCCCCCACATGTTTCCTAGTTTTTAATATCACCCCCTCAACTACGATCAGTTACCATTTGAATCCTTGATTATAGATTTCGTAGTATGTAAAGTGTAAACCGCATCCAAGTTATTTCAAGTACTTATGAAATATGAACCATAGACCATTTAAATTTGTCCATATATCAAAATTTATTCACATATATATTTTGTATCAAACCTATCATACCCAAGTGTCGAGGAAGCATGTATTTAAATATATCCATACATAACTCAAGCACATAAGGCAAACATTGATGAGGAGAGCAAACCATAGTGTGACTTTTTTCCGAAAGAGAAATCAAATATCTTCATATATTTTTTTTCATATTTATCTTCCTACTCATTAGAAAAATGACAAAATCAAGAGAAGAGATTAAGAAAGAGAATTAGAGGATTCCACATGTCATGAATTTATATGAGTAGAAAGATAAGTAAGAACAAAAGGTAGGAATATTTTTTTTTCCCGAAAAGATAATAGAGAAGATGATTGGAATGAAGTGCATATCATAAAAAGACACAAAGTTCACAAAGAAAATCCCCCAGAACAATCTATATTAACATGTAACTAAGCTCGCCACCAGCTTCTTTGTATCATATATACCAAACAATTGGAATAATGAAAGCATTTGGAAGATTGTTAAAAACTTCGCACATATCTTCGATGTCTGCCTACCAAAGAAAAAGGATACCACGGGAAATAACTTTGCATTCGTGAGATACTTGAAGGTTGCAAACGCAAAAGATATCGAGGAAAAACTAAATTGGATTACCTTTTTGGTTAAGCCAAAGTCATTGTAACACAACCATATTTGATCATAATCGTAAGAGCTCCCTATCAATAATGATGGAAATATATATGTTACTGCTGATTGGTTTTGAGCATATCTACAATCCTATGTGATCATGCAACCCTAATTGCTTTGGATCTAAATTTTTCACTAATTGAACATGCAAAATGAATACCAAAGCAATAACCTTAAAACTAACATACAATTTCGAAAATCATATAAAACTAGGGTTAGAAGATTACCTTACTTGTTATGTAGCAATAACAAGAACCACCTTGAAGATCCTTGACTATTGAAAGCTTAGTGCCTCAAATGTTGCACCTCTAATGGAGTCACAAACACCCAATACAAGAGGATGAGAGGAGAGACAAGGAAATTTTGGTCAGGGTTATCAAGTGTATGCATTGGACAAAATTCCATGACTTGGGAGGGTTTATATAACTGAGGGCTGCTAGGGTTTTCAGGTGGAAACCTTAATTTCCTGCTTAAGGCTTAAGCAGCCCATGGACATCTTACCAGTAGGCCTTGGACGAAATCTATAGGACCTCCTTATAAGATTTCGTCCACTCCTAATTAAGGAGTCCATCAGCCAAGTTTCACAACTATCAATGATTTGCAAAACAGCCCCTCCATTATTAATCAGTTCCTTTAATCCTAAAATTAATATCAAATTAATTTTTGATTAATTACTAATTAATAATATGATTTTCAAATAATATATTAATCTTATAATATATTAATAAAATCATTTTGAGTACCAATTTATTATTTCAAATAATAAATTCTACTCTCTCTCCACTAGTCATCCTGTCAAGTTGCATGAGTGAAGGCAACCCAAAAGGACCATGCTACAATCAGATCAAGTACATACCAATTATAGTTATGGGCTTAGACACCTAATCCAACAGTCTCCCACTTGGATAAGTCTAATAACTATTATTGCAAGTATGACTTCAAAATTTGGCCACCAATCGTAGCTTTCAAAAGCCGCTGATGAACTCCGATCTAGTCAGTTACGTGTCCTTAGATAAGTGATCAAATATTACACCATTCTACAAGATATCGTATGGACATGAGACATGGATTATAATCAATCTCTCTGTCCAAGAGTTGTTTCCCGATTTTCGATTTATGACGACTGATTACAATTGAACATATCAATTTAGTCCAGGCTTGGCCAAGCGCTTTAGATGTCATCACTAAATCATCAAGGGGCCTACATATAGGGGTGCAAACGAGCCAAGATACTCGTGAGCTACTCGAGATCGAATCGTTAAAAGCTCGACTCGAGATCGATTTTAAACGAGCCCGAGCCGAGCGCGAGCTTAATATTAGGCTTGTTTATTAAACGAGCTCGAGCTCGAGCCTCTATTACTTGGCTCGATTAGGCTCGCGAGCCTAAACGAGCCTACGTATATATAATAAAAAAATTATTTTTATTTTTATATATTAAAATAAATAATAATTTAATAAATACCATTTTAGGAAATTAGAGTATACCGTATACGAGCCGAGCCCAACCCGAGCCCGAGCCCGTACAATTTTTAACGAGCCGATCTCGAGCTTTGTACCACAAGGCTCGAACGAGCCGAGCTCGATCTCGAGCCTATAAATAGTTTAACGAGCCGAGCCCGAGCCTGGTCAGGCTCGAGCTCGGCTCGGCTCGTTTGCAGCCCTACCTACAGATATCACTTTTATCCCATTTAGGGTAAAAGGAACGGATAAACTTAGACTCATATGCTTGTACTATTTACTCATCAAATCACACATAACAATACGTTTTATAACATCAAGTTACTGATGCGTTTACGTATTATCAATGCATAACTGACTCGTAAACAACAACTCATGTGTCTCCGTTTCAAGAATATATGATATTATCGTCTCAGAATTACTCGTGATAAAATCCATGAAGTAATTCTCTGAGCGTGGGTTTATCCAATACTCAAATTACTATTTCATGAGTACTCATGAACACTGCAGCAAACATTTGCTATGTCTAAGATCTTAGACAATCTACAATCGGATTCATGACAATCTTAATTCACTACTTACTTCCAAAGTATGATCGACTGTGGATGTTTGAATAACCCATTTATTCGGGAAGTAAAACATGCAAAGTGAAACACAAGAATAATCTAATTAACTATGGTCTCAAAACATTTGAATAAAAATAATATGCCTTTATTTAATCATCATATTAATTAGAATTTATTCATTGTATAATGTTTCGACTAATCAACTTAATACTTGAATTATAACATTAGTCATGCCAAGCTCTAAGCATGCACACTATGTTTATCTATAGTCCTTCCTTTTTGAAGTTCAAATGGACACATTTCCAATGATGCCCATTTCACAATTTTAAATCCTTATTACAAGTGTAAGAATACCAAATTCTTGCCACTAATAGAATGTGTTATAGTCTAACCTTTCATGCAATAATCCTTTTGTAATGTCAAGGGTCCAAAGTCACAAAGACTTGTCCAATGATATTACAAAGCATTCCATTGGAGATTTGTTACAAAACAATTCCATGGAAACGAAGTCTTGCATTCAAAGTACATTCCTTGAACATCCTTCTTGCATAAAAGTTTCTAACATAGATTCTTAAATATCTAACTCCCACAATGGAAACATTTCCAAATTGCCATATGAACATTAATTAAGAATCAAATCTATTCATAATTATATCAATATGGTCCGTCCATTACTATACTTCCAACTGTCCATAAGCAGCCAATCTTTTGGTAAACCTCAGAGTGTTCTAGACAGTTGTTTAACAACTCTAGTCATATCCAGTTCTAGTCATTTTCCCTCTTAATGCCCTGGGCATTTTGGAAAATCAGAACGAGTGAATATTATAACATATGCAATTGATCCTATACCCGAAACATATGTGATTCGATACATAATGTCTTACATAAAGGCATGATACTTGACCAGTCTCTTGCTATAATATTTCCATATATAGAATTTCCTATGTTGAATTACTTCAACACGTTATTCATATATATTAATGACTAAGATCCATTAAAACTTCAATCTAAACTTTTAGATTTAAAATGAAGTATTAGTGCCCTCTCCCTAAAGCCTTACTATAGCAAAACAATTTCCAAACTCTGCAACTTTGCAAATTGAAAACTTTGTTTCCAATAAATAGCATTGCTAACTTGCAACACTTGACATAAAAATTATGCTCTAACTAGCATAATAATTATATTCTTACAAGCATAACATATGCTCCCACTAGCTTTAACATGTACCCAGAAATCAGCTGGACTTCTTGAAATCAATACCTATTGACTTCCTTATCAAAGTTCAGATTTATGATACGAGACGTTTTGATAAGTCTTTATATAGACTTCTCAAGCTCATACACCTTTCATTAGATAGATTATGTGTGTGTCTAAAACCTTTTAGAACTTATAGCAAAAAGTCCCGAATGTTCAAACTATTTGTCATTTCTCACAATTCGAACTATGAAAAGGGATGCCATAATCATACTCGAATTTGAGAACGCAATTATCACAATTGCTAACTCTAATGATATTAATCAATCCTTTAAAATCTACTAGTGAAAGCGTTTCCTCACAATCATTTTCATGAAGTAGAGAGAAACCTTTTGCCACTTAGATTTTATGGTGTATGTGTTCCTATCCATGTGAATTTATCAATTCCAACCTACAATCATAAGATGAGGTTTATGACAAATTTAAACTCATATGGACTGAACTTACTTAATCTCAATTTCTTGCCATCCGGTAGCACAAGGATCTACCAGTGCTTTCGAGTTATTGAGCAGCTCACCCATACATATCAATGTACTTTCACTGATCAAGGTGCTTTGCCTTATGCAGTCAAATGAGAACTCATAGAACTCACATGCATAATCAACTTAAATGAAATGGGCACAGAAGCAAGAATTTATCAACACGATAGGTTATCAACCTCAGGTCGTGTGCTAGTGATTACCAAAAGGTTTATTCTTGATTAGCTCCTGAAACTATTCAAGACCATTAAGACTCCCACCGACCTCTTGACATATAAGATTCTCTGTCAAACAAATATTCAAGAGTTAGTGCGGGTTCTTATCAAGAAAACACTTCAT